TTATTTTTATATCAATAAGATTTATTTGAATATGCTTTGTTTAAGCCGACCATAATTTATTATAATGACGTTTTACGATGAACAACTTTTTTTAAATAAGCTTTTAAATATAGAAGTGTTACATAATTTAACAATAATAATCGTATCGCATGCCAGCAGTAATAAGTAGTTTATTTATTTATTGTAGATTATTGAACACGTTAAAATTTATATAAATTTAAATAATCTATTTTGTTTGTTTTTTTGTACTAGTAGTAAAACAAGTATGTTACCTGTTGTATGCTTAGGAAATTTAATCAATTTATTAGGACCCCTATCATAGAAGACAGGTTTTTTTTTCCCAATCCTTCGCGGTTCTATTATTGTTAAGTAAAAGAAATTGGTGCAAACTACAGTAGGTACAGTTAAAGCGTATAGATAGCGATGAAATCACACATAATAATAAGCGAAAATTAAATCTGTATATAGTATCAATTTTAAACTAAAACAAGTTTTAAACGTTTCGTTCGTGGCCTAAAGGATAAGACATCCGGTGCATTCGTATCTAGCGATGCACCGGTGTTCGAATCTCGCAGGCGGGTACCAATTTTTCTAATTAAATACGCACTTAACAAAATATGTTCACAATTGACTTTCTTGTTGAAGGAATAACATCGTGTAATAAAAATCAAACCCGCAAAATTATAATTTGCGTAATTACTGGTGGTAGGACGTCTTGTGAGTCCGCACGGGTAGGTACCACCACCTTGCCTATATCTGCCGTGAAGCAGTAATGCGTTTCGGTTTGAAGGGTGGGGCAGCCGTTGTAACAATGCTTACATGTAACAATGCTAACCTTAGAACTCATATCTCAAGGTGGATGGCGACATTTACGTTGTAGATGTCTATGGGCTCTGGTAACCACTAAACACCAGGTGAGCTGTGAGCTCGTCCACCAACCTACAATAAAAACTTCATTAAAATCATCATGCTACTGATCTAACATAAAGAATGAAGGGAAAAAAAGCAACTGTTCCGTAAAATATAAATATTGCTTAATCTAATAAACGCATAAATACAGTCTACAGTACTAATTAGTTCTTGACTTTAAAGTTATGTTTAAAGATTTTAAGCCAAGAACAAATTAGTTCTTGACTAATTAGTAGAACCAATTAGTTCTTGAATTTTAACTAAACGATACATAATTGCGTATCGTTTACTTGTTTGTTGGTGTATGAGTATCTGAGGACGTGTCTCAAATAGAACTTAAATAATCGGTTAAAAAATTATTTTAAAAGAGTTGTAAGGCTTTCTAATACATAATTTAGGACTCTATTCTAGTAATTATCTTATCATTGTATTCAAATTCGACAACAGGATGTTACAATAGTATTTTGGTATTTATGTAAAGGAAATTCATTTCAATAGACTAAGGGAAAAATAATCGATAAAATACATACGTACCGTTAGCAAGGATGTACCTACTGTACTTTGTCTGTGTTGGCAATTGTATTTTAATTTATTTCATTGTCATATAAATTCATTATGATGAATAAAGGCACAATTATCCAATTCCGTTGTTTGACAAATTAATTTCTATAAAAAGCGTATTTATGCGATCCATTATTTATAAAACAACAATGTCCATCATATTTTAAGATATTTTGGTAGGGTGAAAACTCTAGTTTAAATATAAATGAAAATTGAAAAAACACGCGCGAGGTTTCTTTACCAACTATCTTATTTGGTTAAAAAAAAAATACTGCCAATAATTTGTTTCTTCCTATTCATGATTCAGTTTTATCATTTTCGATTCCACGCTTAGGAGCGATCAATGCAACAGACTTCGTCTATGGCATATATAAAAACATAATTTGCAAATTTAGATATGTATATATAATGTATTCTGTAATTACATGTACCTATATATGTATATATTTATATATATTTTTACAGATATGAATTATACAGCCACGAGCAAAAGTATTATGTATCACAATTAAACTGCCAGCTTTAGGATAGTTTAGCATTGGAGATTCAAATAAAATATATCTTGTAACTAGTATTTTTGCCTTATTATAATAAATGAATTAAAATTTCATCGGTCCACCTTTTGATTTTATGACAGAAGCCACTTTTTTAGGCATTTCGACTCTAGCAACATTAAACATTCTTCTTTGGACAATTGTTGCCACTCCTTCTTTAAAGCAGCCAGTAGTGTGTTTTTATTAGTTATGGTGTTTCTCCGTATCATTTTCTTTAAAATAGACTAAATATGCTCTATCGGATTGAGGTCCGGCGATTGTGGTGGTCAGTCTATATGCTCTATACGGTTTTGAGCCATCCACACCATAGAATGAGTAGATTTGTGGCAAGTGGCGTTGTCTTGCTGGAATTTTATTCCTTCACTTTGTGTCGCCGGCGCTAGAGCTGTTTCTAGGGCTATAATGTATTTTTCACTATTCATTTGCCCCTCAAACAACACCATTTCACCCACTCCGTCGACAGCCATACAACCCTAAATCAGAACTGAGCATCCACCGTGTTTAATAATGGACACTACACATTCTTGTTTATATTATTTGTCCATTCGGCGCCTGACACAGATTGTGTCGACAGTTCCAAACACCTGTACAAAAACAAAAAGCTAGTTAAATTTATGATTTCAGTATTTTTATTACAGAATTAGTTTTCATAGATATCGTGATATTTGAATGTAAAACAAAAAGTGAATAACCTAACCTCAAAGTTAGCTTCGACCAATCTTCCACTGTCCAATCTCTATGTTCTAGGGCCCATTCCAAGCGATTTTTCATATTTGATTTTTCAGGCTTGTTCCGATGTTTTGGCATGGTCCACACCAAAAATGTTATTCTCTAAGAATATGGCAGAAATATTTGCGTATATACAACACATGTATTTACTTGAAACTCTGACAACACACTAAAATTTGACATTTTCTAAAATTGCTAATTCGAAGAAATAATAATATTGGTATGGAAACGCACCTCCAAAACAATAATAATACCATAAAAATCTTATCTACACACAATTTTTCTATACATGTTTGTGCGTAATACTTTTGTTCGTGGCTGTATTTTTATATTATTACAGATATGAATTATATATAAAATAATTAATATTAATAAAATTACCTGTTTAATTTCCTCTATTAGACTTATGTTGAAAAATATTTTATGTAAAATTATATTTTATTTATGGTAATGTGCTAACCATTTAGTGTGTAATTAAATTGGTTGTGCCTATCGCATCTGTTGTGGGTATCGCAAAAGGCGGATTCACCTTGAAAGGCAATAGATGCAATCTTTATGGCATTTGCAATAGGAAATGCATAAGATGCAATTTTTAAAAGTAATTTCAAAATTAAAATAAGAGTTAACAGTGAACTAAAGTTTCCACTGATATGCATTTATCTTACTATGACAACATAATATAAATAATAATTGTAAATTTCCATTCAACCCTAAACAACTAAACACAAGCGTACATATCGCGAATGAACAAACACAAACATTCATTTATACATTTATATTTCAATATAATCTGTTTGACATTAAATAAAAATCAACTTTTTCAGTGCTCAGCTAGGTTAACGACCTACTTCCGATTTATCGGTCCTCAAGATCTACATGGCCGCTATAGAATTCGAATGCGTCCACCTACCTACTTCAAAACAATACGTTGAAGTATCATTTACAAAATGAATACCCCATAAAACAATACAACATAAACGATGTGTTGATAATCTGTTCCATCCTAGTAGTATTAAAATTAAGGTTACAAATTACGAATCTATATATTAATACGAGAGGCAAAAACTTTGTACCCCTGTTTACGAAAATTGCGCGGACAAAGGACTATGAAATTTCCCACACTTATAGAGAATATAGAGAAGGAGCGCAGAATGTTACTATTTTTTTAAATTATGCATAAAAAATATGTACCTTAAAAAATTAAATAAAAAAATTACACACACTACCATGAATTTCCACACACACACGCATGCATACTATTTGTTTATTGTCAAACTTTTCTTATTGCTTATAGTCTGTGGTCAAATTGAGAATAGATTAAATATTGTTTGTCTTTACTAATATTGGCAAAATCTGTGATTATAGAAGTATAATAGAGTCATAATAGTGTACAAACTTATAATTTCAATTAATTATAGTCGAATTTCGACTACCGGGGGGCACTATAGTAGAATTATTTGGTCCGTGCAGTTTGGATCATAAACAATCGGAGCGGTGAAGCGAGTATTTCGCTCTCTCTTCCACTCATGAGCCTTAGGGATGGGCTTAGGGATGGGCATAGTGATGCCCATTATTGTTGTCGATAAGCGTTATCGATAGTGTATTTAGTTTTGTCATTTTGTGGGTTAGTGATAAAAATGAAAGAAAAAATTACTAATTGAACACTTACTCCACATATCGCCGCAGCAAGTTAACGAGAACTGCAGAAATTAACACTTTGTAACTTTTCGGGATCTATTCTCATTTTAGTGAATAATTTTAAGATATTGTTGATAATAACACGTGCTTGTGCTGGTATATTTTTGCCAACAAGCAAAATATTTGAATAAATTTTGCCGTTTTGGTACAAAACTAAAGAGTAGCCATTGTGTCCGTAAAATCATTCAGAGAGCGAATGCACAAAATCACATTTCTCTTCGACATATGTACTATAATTTGCAGGTAGGTAAAAGAAATGACACATAACATAAAAATGTCTCACCACCCTTCATATACCACCCCGCCGCCGTGTACCTGCCTTCGATGACTCAATTGTTTTTATCGATAATGGTGTTGCGCCCGCGCAACATGTTCACCGCCCTAGCTGGGCTATGTTTTATGACCCAAACTGCACGGACAAAATAATTCTACTATAGTAGTGTTTAATAAATTAAAAATACCGAGAGCGAAGTCTCTGTATCTGCATATTATTAATATATTTTCGTTGAAGAATTGGTACGTTTTTCTTACGACAAGGTTTATTAACAGATGCTGGCGGTCCGGAGATCGCTAACAGAAATCCTGCTAGAAGTGACCGACCAGGAAATTGAAACGGTGAGCCAGGAAGAATTGGCCCGATATACCGCCACTCAAGGTATTTGCTCTCACCCTAAGCTTTACGGGGACCGGACGGTCTCCGAGCCATTGTCGTCAGCGAGAAACGTTCGTTTATTGACTGTAAAACTGTGATTAACAATGATTCAAGAAGACCAAAAAAGTGCTGTGAATAATTTTAATTGACCGATAACGAAGTTTTATTTCAGATTCAGTATGCCTGTACATTGAATACATGTGGTGTCTGTGATTAATGTTGGTTTTATTTATATGGTAAAAGCATCGCGCATCAACGCCATGAAGGCGGGCAAGTCGAAGGCACTCGCCGCCATCGCTTCGGGCCTCGGTGAGTTCACTTCCTACTCCCGATCACGCCGGAATATCTCGCACACAGAAAACACTATAATATACACAACCCCTAGCTAGACAACACAGCGGAAATTTAACCGTATGTTTTACAAAACAAAGGATAAGTTTGCGGGATATTCTGCTCGAAACACTATGGCGCCTAGTAAAACAAATTAAATCAATAATTGTTTAATTCGTAAGGCACCATAGATGTTCAGTGAAAAGTTTGTTTTCAGCTATACCTACCTCAACGTATTTTTTTAATATTGACCTTAATATTGGCAATACGATAACGCAGTGTTTTAGCACTGATTTAGTTGGAAACATTTGGTAAGACCGCACAGAATTTCTTATTGATGTTGTACGAAATATTATTATTTCTTTACAACCTTAGCGAAGAGGAGGTATGACGTGCAAACTTTTTGTAAAAAAAAAACAACGGACCCAAAAACTTCCACATAGTTGTGGTATTATTTTAATTAGAATTTATTTTCAAAAATTTACTTTTTCAATTGTCTGATGCTCTTGAATAATCAAGATTAATAAAATCACACGAATGTGTCCCAAAAAGAAACGTGAGAACACAGCGCGATAATTATGTAAAATGAGTATGCATTCAAAAATTATGTCTGTCCATTTTTCTTTCCCTGCCTTTAAATTTTGAACACTTCCCTTCGTCTTTTTTTTTTCAATTTTAGTTCTATTAAAATCTTCACAATAACCTCGTCAAACGTTACTAAATTTAATGTTAAATGAATATTTTATTGACAAAATAATCCCAGAAAGATTGTACGTCAAATCTCAAGAACAAAATACGAACTGTTTGTATAAAAAAATATATACATTATTTATTTTCTTGATTCTCCACCTACAGGGTTGGGAGCTTACGAAAGCAGCAGCGGCGAGAGCGATGACGAAAATCAAAATGATATCAGCGATCAACAACTACAGGTGAAATAAATTACAGTTTTCGTCATCGATTCTAACTATACTATATACTAACTATATTGAGACCTTAGAACTGATATCTCAAGGTGGGTAGCGCATTTACGTTTGTAGATGTCTATCGGCTCCGGTAACCACTTAACACCAGGTGGGCTTTCAGTTCGTCCACCCATCTAAGCAATAAAAAAAATGTTTAATTCAATTAAATTGGTCTACCCTCAGTTGTGTTTTAGCCGACATATTATATCAAAATGTAAATAGGTCTTTGTTTGATAAAGCTACCTGCGTATTCAAATGCTTGTTTTCTGTTGGATTTGAAAACGAAAAATAATTAATCCATTCGAGAAGAAAAAACGGTTTCTTTTTTCTGTGCGGTCATGAGTCAGGTTGGCGCGTCAAATTGAACTTTAGTATGACGTTACGATTTGACGACGGACCATAAAAAAAAATATATGCACTTAATTAACTTTGCAACTCAGATTTAGGTTTAGGTTAATTACTACATATATCAATATAAAATAAATAATAAAATGCTTAATTCGGAAAAAAAAACTTTCTAAGACTAGTTTTCGACGTCGAACAGAGTTAAAGCCGTGGCACGCTCGTAGACTTCATTACTCTATCTTGATAACAAAAGATTTCATATCATTTAAACTATCTCGCCTAGCACCCCATATGGAAAGTTTGTTCCTTTGTTGAATAATTATATTTGCATAGCCAAAATTATAACAATGGTATTCATTCTCTTAATTGTCTATTATTCAAACTGTTAATTAATTATAATAAGCATTTTTTTGAAATACAGCCTTGACTGCTATTATGAGGTATCTATCAAAATGATTGAGATGAAAATGTTCAATGAACTTAACGAAGGCCACAAAATTTTACAATATAATATTAAGTTGGGTCGATGTCGCAACCCTTTAGGGCAGTGGTCGGCAACCCACGGCTAGTGAGTTCCATTCGTTTCTTTGACTCCTCGACTACCACTCTTCCGCGAAAATTTTAGTATAGGCAAGGAATATTACTTATTATCTTGCCCTGTAAGAGACCTGAAAACCGTTTTTTTTAACATAATGCTATAAAAATATGATAACAAAAATTATTCTATGAATAAATTTCAATTGTGTTTTATCTATATTTAGCTCTTTTGCTTAATACAGTTGCCGACTAATGCTTTAGGGTATGTTGCGTACAAGTTTCGTGCACTCTGCAGCGTTTGTCATCGAACCTGTCGCTGGCCACGAAGGGCTCGGCGAGTAAATTAACCACACAGACACAGCCCACTGAGTTTCTCGCCGGATCTTCTCAGTGGGTCGCGTTTCCGATCCAGTGGTAGATTCTGCCAAACACTACTACTAGGGCTAGTGTTAGCAACGTCCACAAGTTAGAGCCCCATGAGCTCACCTACTCGATCTGTGAATCTAACATAATCCCTCATGGTCCCTAGAAAGGGTAGAAAAAAAAAACTGCAGCAGATATTACGTTGCACCTGTGCGCATCCGTATCTGATGCTTCAGTATACCCCAAAGTTGCGTGATAGGGTCTTGATCAGGCGATACTATCTACAAGTCTAGAAGGGAATTGTGGTGGACTAACTCGTGGTTCCCGATATGTGGCATACAGAATTGTCTTGCTAATTATATTGTTCGATGACAAAGTCACATCCAGAACCAGATTTAATTCATTGTGTTTTGACTTTTGTTTATTGTTCTCGTGCTTTATGTGAAATTTCGATGCATCAAAAGTCAATTGTTAAAATACGCACACTTAAAGACATTAATGAAATGGTTATGTGATTTACGTTAAAGGAAAAGTCATCATATACAAACATACCCCAGTTCGAAATACGTATGACACGGAAAACCCCACGTAAACAGTTCATTTACTAGTATTACAAAGAAGAAGAAGAAAAAATACAGTTTCCGTTAAAACCACAACAATTCGTTAGACAGAATTCTAGAAGCGACCTCATAATTCGCGGTCCGATTGTCCGACGCCGAGTAGACTGAGAGCTGGAAATGTCTTCTGCGACAGTATATGTTTTTTTCTAAACCGTTCACACTATCTATTCTCATTGAAAATAATTTCTCTAGGAGATGATAAGGCGTAAGAAAATAGAGTTCGAGCGGACAGCCAGAGAGATAGAAGCGGAGGTTCGCCGAGCCGAACGTGACGGTGACGGAGTATCAACACCAATCCACAACACACCAGAGAGGCCTACGAAATCGGAGCGACGTTAGTCATATTTAAATCCTCACAAAATATTTGACATTTCAAACGATGTCCAATTTCGGAGTCATTTGGAGGGCAAAGATGGCGTAAACATTGCTGGGAGTCCTCAACAGAGCGAAGGGGTATTTCACGCCTGGACAAGGACTGTTCTTTATCGTTCGCGAAGCAGCTGCCCTTGAATTGTTAGGTCTCCATTGGAGGCGCTCGGGCAGCTGTTAGCAAACTCAATCTCTCTTGGCTGAGCCTTGACTCGCCCACCTGTCTTGGTGAAACTAGAAAGGCATCTGGGCCACCAGTAATCCCTTATTCATAAAAAAGAAGTTATTCTTTATGTGTCTATGTTTTAAAAAATCTATATTATTTTTGTTTTGTTTATTGTATTATGAATTTAAAGTAAAATCGAAACTAAAGTAACGAATTTTAGTTATTCAATATTGCTTGTTATGTATAATAAAATATATCTAAAATCACGTTCATTCATAGGTTCCTCAGCAACACCGCCTTTAGATAGCGAAACACCCGAAAAAATACTAGACAGACGACTATCTAAAGATAAGAAGAGCGTACACAAATCATCAGATAAAGTCGACGGGATCAAGAAATTGGATCCCATTTTAGAAGAAAGATCTAGAAGAAACAGTAAGCGTGAGCACACCCCTAGTCCACAGCATAAAAATAACTATAAATCAAACGATAAGGAGAGTACGTCGTCATCCAGCGACTCTGATGATGACTCCAGCAGTAGTTCGAGCGACTCGTCAGAAAGCGAACCCGAACCGAAACGCTCGAAAAAACGGAAACGCAGAAGCTCGAGCTCCAGCCATTCCCGAAAGAAGTACAAAAAGGAGAGAACCAGAAAAGATAAATACAAATCGCACGATAGACATTACAAAAACGACGAATATGACAGATACAGTTCGAAAAAGAAGGACGTTTACCAAGAGAAACACAAGTCGTCCAGGAGCAGCAAGGATTACGACAGGCAAAGGTACAGAGACGGGTCGGAGGAGGAGAGGGGCAGGAAGCGAGCCAAGCGGTCGCCGAGCCCGCGGCGCCGCGACCACGACAAGTACGATAGGTATGAGCGGTCTAGGGATCCGCGACGGTCGCGCAGTACCAGCTACTCCCGCCATCGTCGGTGAACATCAGGTTACAAACATTGCAGGTTGTATTTTTATCTAATTATCATCACAGTAAATACCCTCTGTAACAAGGATCAGAAGTTTTTAACTTTTCACATACATTATTATAATAATGACGTCTGAATGTGGAACATTCAGTTTGAAAAAAAAAAGGAAATTGAATAAAAAAATATTAACAAGAAAGTTTCATTGTTTATCAAGATCTATAAAATGTACTAATTTTTTTGTTTCTACTAAATCTCATGTTTCGTTTATTTATTTCATTTATATTCTTAGCAACTGGACCTTGACTGTATGCTGATGAAAGATTCATTAAGCTGAATGATACAAATAAAATATTATAAACCATGGGCAGACCTCATGTTAAATCAATAATTTAAAAGAAACCATTTAACACTTCTTTTGAGATAAAATGTTCCTGTCACTCCAAACTAGAAACTTATCTTTGCAAAAAATCTTTATGATAGAAGACAAGCAAAACATACACTTTCTCATTTATAATAACAGTAAACAATCTTACTACAGTATAAAAAATTACTTTATTCACAATCATTTAATTTATATTCAAGATCTAATTTGAAATAATATTTGAAAGCAAAAAAAGTCAATAGAAAGTTTAATATCATTCTATTGAAGTGATGTGTTCTAGTATTTCTATACAAAAAAAATATAATACTATTTTTCGATAAAATTTAAAAGTAATAATGTTATTAATATTAAACACGTATTTTTCCTTCAATTGAATTCCAAATTTGAGCTTATGTTAATAAAGGCTGTGATCTATTTTAAAATTTATCTCTTACAGATGGAAGCTGTTATGTACGCGTTGAAGTGTATCTTAGTGATATTGTGTATAGTATTTTAGTGTGCAACAATCAATNAATACTATTTTTCGATAAAATTTAAAAGTAATAATGTTATTAATATTAAACACGTATTTTTCCTTCAATTGAATTCCAAATTTGAGCTTATGTTAATAAAGGCTGTGATCTATTTTAAAATTTATCTCTTACAGATGGAAGCTGTTATGTACGCGTTGAAGTGTATCTTAGTGATATTGTGTATAGTATTTTAGTGTGCAACAATCAATGATCCATCGCGTTATTCCAATAAAGTTTTTTTGAATCTATATTGATAAATTTCGTTTCTTTGTCCTTTCTGTGCATGATGGTATAAAAATGTTATAAAAGCAAAAAAAAACAAGTTTTACCAATGTAACCTGTTTATTGATGTTTGCAATGCCCTACTAATATTACATTAAAAATACCAATGATAAATAACTACAAAACTGAAGAATAAAATAAAATGAAAGTATCACTGATCTCATCATTAATTACACTTATATTTCAATTTAAATTTTCATTTCAATCTAAAAACAAAATATCATTTTTCCTGAACTATTTGAAGGAAATCCTTACAAAAAATTAATTAGAGTTAACCTCTAATCAAACCAATAACCTAATCAGTGGTGAATTTATTAAAATTTAGTATTTACAATAAAAACAGTATTTAACTATTACACCACAAATATAAACTGCTACAGCATTTCCTTGAGTCATGTGAGTCAAGCATAACTATATTGAATAATATGCACTTAAATATTTGATGATACAAAAGATAGAAACATGCCAAAATCATGTTGTGCTGTTACCTAATTAATAATTCTGTTTTAAATGTAAAGGAAATTAAAATCTGTTTTATCAGCGATGCATAAATTATTTTCATCGACAGAATTAAATTTTCAATTACTTCAAAATATAACACCATGTCAAATACAGGCACATACCTACCTAATTTTAATATAATTTGATATATAGGAAATATACTATAATATGTAGACCATGTTACTTTGGTAAATTATCAAACAAGTTCTTGGCACTCATTTTTAAAAATCTCATTCTTGTGTTTATGAATTTCGCCTATTTACAAATACATTCAATATTTGACTGTTGTAAAATAAATTAAAATAATAAATTTACTTAGGCCTAGTACTGAATTTAATTTACTATCACTTCCAAGTTACGTTCCAAATCTTTGATCGCATTTACTATATTTATACATAGCACCTACAAAGCTTTCAACACTTAAATTATAGTCAACTGATAAACTTATGAACTCTGTAAGTCTTATTTGCCATGGCAATAAACCATGTGTACAACAAACTGGACCTGAAAATAATGCTAAATCAGGATCTGGAATGGAAGGGTATACTGCTGATATCACATCATCAAATTCTTGTGCGGTAATTTGGTCACTTTTTCTATTATATGGAATTTTTTCCTCACACATTTTTTTGATACATTGTGTAATTGTGGAACGTCCGTTCTGACAAGAAAAAATATTCACAACAATTTTATGTGCAGGAATGCCATTTGTATACCCATTCAAATCAGGTTTCTTTGACCATTTTATACACCCCGGAACACCTTTCTTGTTCTTCTCAACTGCATTAAAAAGTTTTTCTTCTTGATATGAAAGTTGACCTGCAAAGTTTTATTAATAAAGATTTCAAACTTATATTTTGTTTATTCAATAATACAGAGGATCTCTGATAAACCAGCCTCAGTCTAATTTAGGTCCTGCTGTAATCCGATATACCATAACATATTACAGAATTATTTAAAATATCTGTTATTTTGTGTCAGAGGTTATAGCTGTGTATGTCATTTATCAGCTTACATGGTACTGTTTTCAAAATAGTTCCAGACTACTGGAGACTGACAGTACTCTATAATCCAACAAATTCAATTATCTGACAGTGGGTATTGAAACATTAGTCAAATTATGCAGATCAACTCTAAATTAGAAAATATTGTAATTAAGAGCTGAGAATTAATTTAGTGTTAATTTATTTTTTTATTATGTTGCATTAAATAAATATTTTTATTGAGAAAAGAAGTGCTATTCTTACAAGTCTAAATTTCTATACTAAAATAGTTTCTTATCACAAAATCGACAAAATCCTGGGTTGGGTTTTATGAATTTCCAAGTGGTTAACAATAATATTTAATTTATTTTTTATATTGTAGTAAATTCATNGAATTAATTTAGTGTTAATTTATTTTTTTATTATGTTGCATTAAATAAATATTTTTATTGAGAAAAGAAGTGCTATTCTTACAAGTCTAAATTTCTATACTAAAATAGTTTCTTATCACAAAATCGACAAAATCCTGGGTTGGGTTTTATGAATTTCCAAGTGGTTAACAATAATATTTAATTTATTTTTTATATTGTAGTAAATTCATATTTTAACTCACCTGATACATCATAAAAACTTAAAAACGGTATTCCGGCTACTAAACTCCATATCACCATTCGAGCCAAATCATCTATTGAATGGTAATCGCTATCAGATAAAACAACTAAATGCTTTGGTTGTTTACTGAGTTTCGGTATATGCTTCACTATTAGCTTTAAATCCGTTTTTGTCACCTCATAGTCTTGTAAACTGTGCTTTTTAAGCCAATATCTGCAATAGACATTCTGAGCACCAACAATAAAATTTAAAATCAAATGTAGCAAAGCAAACAAGAACTGTCGAAGCAATCGTGACAGCATAATTCACATTAAATTATTATCCGCGATGTATGTAACGATAGTATTATTTTATTTCAACATTTTCGAGATAATATGAACTGAAAACTTTATATCTTTACTATATGATCACACGGCCTAGTCAGCCGCTTTTCAAGAGCAGCCAATCACGAGCTTAAGAGTGGACAGTATGCAATGTTTACCAACGTTCAAAAATGAATTTACAGATTAAAGGAACTTTTTATATGACATTTCCACGCGGTTATGCGTCACAGTTTGCTTGCGCTAGTGGTCAGCAGCTATCGATAGCGAAAGTCTATCGATGATTAGTACATGAATGTTAGGTTTTTTACTCAGATAAGTGAACCCTAGTATTAAGTGGTTACCAAAGCCCATAAACATCATAGTGTTAATTCCATCAGCCACCTTGCAACAGAATTAAGCAGAATATCGCGACGCTTCCTTGCCCGCAAGAACCCGTTAGGTAGCGAACTCGCAAAAGGTATCAATAGAATCTCCGCATATATTTTATAAATGTAGTGTGTTCTTTTTATAATGCTATTGCTGTTTTTTTTTATTTTATTGTTATTGCTTCGTAGTTGAAGTCGTTTATGGATATGTTTCAACTTTTAGTTCGTATTTCTTTACGCCCGTTTTCAATAACCTATCTGAGATTACGGATAGATAGCTATCTGCGCTTATCAGTAAGAGCGTATTTATCTTTAGCTTGCGTTTCACAATCACGGATAAGTGCTATCTATCTTTAACCAACAGAGGATAGCTTCTTCCTTCTGATCTATCCGAGCCTCTTCATACGTTTCGTTCTACTGCAAATATGAAACAACATCAGGTTCAATACTTATTTCATTTTATTCTAAATCATAACTGTAATTTAACCATCATATCGTATCGTATGTCGTATCACTCTTGTCAGAGCGATCGTGGTCGTCATCCAGTATCATTGGTGTGGGCAGATGTTATGTGAGCAATCATATCGTAGACCATCATAAATTCATTTGTTTTTAATAACAATTAATAAAAACATATCGACGCTTGAAAGGCAAACGTGACTAAGCGACAATGCATGAACTTTACAGTAGACTAATTTAAAGTCGAAATACCTGAAAAAAAATCTATTTTAACGAATCTAGCTGTAGGATTGAAATTATTTTAATAGACCTAGAAATATATATTTTTTTGCGCATCGAATATGGTTATTGCCTATCATTTATGTATAAAACGGTTATTGTCGCTTAGTCACTTTGCCGTTCAAGCGTCGTTATGTATATTTTTTTAAATTGGACGTATTGTTATTTTTATACTAGTCGAAGTTATGAAACGAAACGTTTTGACCGCCCGTTTGCCAATGAGCAGTGGTCAGTTTCTTTTGTTCGTTTTTCTGTTGGTTTTCTGTTACTCGATGGTGAATTGCCTCCAAAACGCCTTAAATTTTTCGTTTATAATTTTAAGTATATAATGTGTATAATAATAATTTAATTAATATAGAGCTACAGTGAAATAAAATAAATTTTGTCAGTATCTATAAATTACATTGATAACTTTTTTTTGTGTTCAAGTTTTGAAAGATATATTTTTCAGTCAAGGAAGGCAATTCGGACGTTCTTTATTTTCTTTTAACCATATGATATCGGCTTCACTATTACTATCTGCATCAAATCAAATCAAATCAAAAAAATGTATTCAACATAAATGAAAGTACATACTTGTTGAACGTCAAAAAAACTACCGCCAATTCACTAGAACTAGCCTCCGTCCTGAGAAGAATTGGCAAGAAACTCAGCGGGCATGTCTTTTTTTCTTTTCTTTTTTTTTTTAATTTGAAATCTATCATCACAATCTATAATCATTTGAAATAATTCCAAATCACTATCATCAATACTACAAGATGCCATTATGAAGAGAAACACTAATTAAATTATAGCTATTTAATTTCAAAAGGTAAACATGTAATCGGCCGATTTTGACAGATAAGTGGATGCCCTTACTAGAGATAACGCCGCCTATCGGAGAGTTACTTAAAACTCATATTGAAACGGGAGTAAGCACGATTTGTATGAGCGTCCTATCTTTAGTAGGCTATCCGTCCTTCGGACGGTCGTTAGGAACTAAGGATCTGTATAACATAAAGTCTCCAATCATTTTCGATCAGAGGACTTCAGATACCGACATTAGTTTTTTTTCGTTTTTAGCATTTGATTTTTTTTAGTTTTTTTTAAAATACTAGTTTGATAGTTTTTTTCTTGATTTGATAGTTAGAAGTTTAATAGCTTTGGGGCTGAGTCAAATAAAAAAAACGTTGGCAAAGTTATACTTAAATTTAAGTAACAAAAGCTAGAAAGAAATAAAAACAAGAAGGACACACAAGAATCATAAACATCGGAAATAAAAACACAACCTAAATAAGCTGCCTAAATAAACAGTAAACTGCTAAGCTAACACACTCTTGTTTATGGTGTTTCAAGTAGTTTTTTTTTCAGATTTCATTAGATTATTTAAATTTAATGTATTCATTAAAGTAAAACATTTCTCAAATGTTTTAGAATAATTAATAGGTATAATTTAAAACTACAAACATTTAAAATTCTCGATAGTTCTCCCTCATCACCCTCATCACTAGCTTGCGCAAAGAATTATTTGCTTTTCCATTCAGTAGGCAAAAGAAAACTATTCTATACGTCGAATTATTTTTCACAAATTAAGCACTTAAAATATTTCACTCTTTAGCTTTTTATCAAAATACTCGCCGAGATGTTTTTAAATTTTGCATAATTTATTTCCAGGGTTCGGAAAAAATGCAACGTATCCTCAACGGTTAAAGATAATCCTGGGACTGTCACGTCTACGACTAACTAGGAATAATCTGTGATTTCCGTTTCCTACCGCCATTGCTGTCAGAGTTTCTTTTACTTGTCAGGCTTGGTTGATAAGGTCAGTAAAATCGTAAAATAGCATTTTACAGGCAAATTATTCTTAAATGCTATCGTGTTAAATTTCTCAAGCTATTAATAAAATTCGTTAATATCACAGTGTTTTGCTTTATTCGTTTTAGAGTTTTGTGAGAAGTTATTTTCAACATTCAACCACGCTGGTAACATGTTTTTCTTTCAGATTTTACAATATGCAGTTGCATATCAGAGGGCAATCGACACACGTCCTGGACGTCAATGGCCAGGAGTCCATTGGTCAGATCAAGGTAAATAGTGATTGAGTTCATGCAATTAGATTAACTGCGGGTTATATATATAAATAACCTATAAAATGGCCAGATTATTGTGCCTATAATTTTCAGTTCTATGTAGGTAATAATATTATTTTTAATTTTTCTCTTGGCTTTATATCTTTGTTTCTGAACACTAATAATTATTGAAAATATATTTTCATCAGTCTTAGAGGAGTCAGATGCGACAAAAACAAATCATTAAAAGTGTCTTTCAATTATTGGTCGTTTTTTCTCGAAACTTCTTCATATACATAAAAATACTAAGTAAAGAAAATAAATTAAGTAATTGTTCATACATACACCTTTTAACAACAATACCATATAAATGTTGTTCATTCTGTTTTGTTTTTTGTTTATTTTATTTCGTACCTTAGTGAAATATTTCACGGTCCGCACAATCTTTTGTGGGACCGGAGTACATATGCATCACAGCATGAATGCCGTTACCTACCTCGAGATACCGGGATATGAGGTCGAAGACTCAGTTGTACTACACAATTACTGTCCCGGCAAAAATAAACGTATGACTGTTTCATTATTGCCATCAGCATCATACTCTGCGGAGGCTTATAATACGCTCTGCCTTACAAGTAAATGACGGTTGTCAACTCCAGATGCTGTCCAATACTCTGAAAATTCTGGTAATGAATATCACCGATATATCCCATAGGCGTTTTTACGACACTCACGAGAAGAGATGGGGTGGTGGTGTATTGTAAACCTTAACCATTGATTTGATTAAATATCTGAATTGATTACTGGTTGAATATTTGATAACACAGATCCACTTGTATAGATTCAATAAAAAAATATAATTTTTTTCAGGAACGCATTCGTACTCTTGCTGCAGTTGGCGATGAAGACCTTACTCTATCATTATGTGGAGCCCCTTTAGATGATTCATGTCTTGTCTCTGAGCTCTCATCATCTGAACTAGACCTCACAGTGCCATTGCTTGGTGGTAAAGTGCACGGATCTTTGGCTCGTGCAGGTATGTTTATAATTAAAAGATTTAAACAATCAACTCTTTTGCCTATCCTTTGATTTAGGTACACTAAATTGGTACTAAGAATATTTCCTAAATAATGCAAGCAATAATATGAAATGCAAAGACATGTATTGGGCACCAATAGTCTAGTCCACAAGACCAGTCAGCCCAAACGCCGTTGTTGTCCATCTATAGTTGCTTAATATCAGAATATATTTAAATCAGAATTGATGAGATGAAGGTGAGTTTTCACTGAACTATCTGGTTATGAGATAATTTATAATTTGTGTGGTCAATTTATATCAATTCCATTATTTTCCCATAGAGTGAAAGGTTAACTTCCGTTTAAGGCTCATAAAGTTGTATTCTTATATTGGGAATTATTGTAACTGTCAGTGCTATTTCTGGTTACTTTCTCCAAACTAGCTCAAAAGCCATTTGATCTCAGCTATAGTAGACTACTTTCCATAGAAATGAAACGTACATTGCATGTCCTGGCTGGATTGTTCTTATCAAATCAAATCAAATCAAAAAATAGGTTATAAAGTAGGTTCACCGTTTGCCTTTGGTAATATTTAATTTTTTATTTATTTATTGCTTAGTTGGGTGGCTGAATTCATGGCCTACCTGGCGTTAAGTGGTACCGGAGCCCTTGGACATCTACAAAGTAAATTCTGACACCCATGTTGAGATGAGTTTGAGGTCTCTGTACAGTATGACAGCTGTCCCACCCTTCAAACCGAAACACATTGCTGCTTCATGGTAGAAATTGGCAGGGTAATGATACCTACCTGGGCGGACTGACAAGCCATTCTACCACCAGTAATTAGGCAGATTATTATTTTGCAGGTTTGATTTTTATTACACGATGTTTTCCCTTCAATGTGGAAGTCTAATGTGAACTTTTTTACATTACATATTTCATTAGAAAAATTGGTACTTGGCTGCAGGATTTGAACACCATTGCATCTCTAGATATATTAATGCACCGGACGTGCCTTTAGGCCTTTAGCCTTTAGGCCACAATGACTTGAAATGAATAAAAAAATTGACAACTTTACTTTAAATTAGTATATGGATTCTCATAATTGATGGTAGTTAAGTGAATTGTGAACGCAGGTACAAATGTCTTGCCTCTCTGCAGTCTACGGATCCAGTTTAAAAAAAAAGCTATCATACAACTCAGATTCAGACCTTTATCTTAGGGTAGGTTGGAGGAATCTCATATTGTGATGTGTGAACTTCAGTAACCAAAGAGAAGAGCCAACATCTCGTCCATTAGAATAAAAAAAGTTTTCTTTTGTGTGAAAGTTTGTAACCTTCTCTCAAAAATTTTATAGGTAAAGTCAAAGGACAAACCCCCAAAGTGGAAAAACAACAAAAAAAGAAGAAGAAGACTGGCCGTGCTAAGCGTAGAATTCAGTACAACAGAAGGTTAGAAACTTTATTGTGAAAAGTGTTGTTTAGTTTACTTTAGTTGTCTTTATTTCCTGCTGTATTTCTTTTTCACTTTTTTTTTTTGTTTCTGGTTAAACAATTTTATACATTGAGCTGCATAATTTATTGTACATTCTAAATAAAGTAGCCTAACACTGCACATAACACAATGAACAATGAGACTACTGATCGACATTTAGAAAATAAGTTTATTAGTTTATTATTATAATTCAAATTTTCTTCAATTTTTATGCACCTAAGAAAATTAATTAAAATTGTTTGGTTTGCATAATTAATATTTATACATAATGTGACTTGCCTTTTCAGATTTGTCAACGTTGTGCAGACCTTCGGACGTCGTCGCGGACCCAACTCCAATTCATAGATTTATAAGTAAATAAAATGCAAAAGTAACATCAATTTTGCAAAAAAAATTGGTTTTTATTTGAGAGCCACCCGTGCTACAACTTCATTAAAATTATTTTCTTCTTTTAGGAATACTATAGGCATTATGACAGAATTTTTTATAACTGCATCACTGGTTTTTCGCAAATACTTTACTCATATTTTTTAAAAGCTTTATGTGACATGCCTTCGTAAACCATTTAGTTTGTGTTTCCATTAGTTCGGGCACATTTTGTTTCAAAGGATATTATTTATAATAGTATTGATGGTAGTGTTTATACTTTGAAAATCATCCTATAGGCGAGAACGGTTGAATGGAAGTCTGTCACTTTTAAAGTAAGAAGGACAAATTTCATTAACTGCTTCAGGTTAGAAATAAATGTGCACCTGAATTATGGGTTGCAAATTTATAAATTATGTATGTTTGTTATCTTAATGCACTAATTATTCAATATCATCATGATACTCAGTACAGCTATTTGCAATCCAGAGGTTTTTCTTCCGCTACCAAAAATTTACGATTTACTAGAGGTCCCGCGGTAGTCTAAATTCAACTATAATAATTAATTGGAATTGTAAGTTTGTACACTACTATGATTGTATTTTATACTTCTATAATCACAAATTTCGCCAAGGCTACACTATAAAAAATATTAATAAAGAAACAATATTTAATCTATTCTCAATTTGACCACAGACGTCAAGAACAAAAGTTTGACAATAAATAGTATGCATGCGTGTGTGCGTCAAATACATGTTATGTAGTTGCATTATTTTGAAAAAAAATTGGGGGTTGTGCACTTCTTCTCTATATTCTGTATAAGTGTGGAAAATTTCATACCCCTCCGTCCACGCAATTTTCGTAAAAAGGGATACAAAGTTTTTGCTTCACGTATTAATATATAGAAGGCGTGCGAGTGGTTACGTGTGGAGCATGCTGCATTGAACTAGTTTAATATAGATCGTATCAGCTCCTTAATTATACTCACGAAATTTCCTTTGTATCTATCAATCAACATCATCTTTTTAGTAGGCACTTTTTGTATTATAATGCCATCCTGTACCTAGTTTTGAGGTACCTGTACTACTAACATATAGGTATTAACGACAAAAAAATACTTCAGAAATTACGTGTTTACGTTAAATACATTTTCATAATCGCGTTTTCGTTACATGTACGAATAGACAAATACCTAAAACCCAAGATATCGATACAATACAGTAGGTAGTAATGATAGTGCCTTTTGTCTACACAGTATACCAGACTAGTAATATAGACTGGAAATAATATCCTTAAAAAATGAAAACACTATAAATTAGAAACGACATAACGGAATCACTTTAAAAACCTTTAAATGCGTCAAATCACGCCTTGATTTTTGATATTATATTTATATTTAACCATGGCGAGATTTACTTGTAACATGGCTTATTGTGAACCCAGAGTGCGGTCATCCGTCACTCGGTTGCTGTTTCGAAGACGCGAGTGGAGGCCAGGGCTCAACTATCCCGACCCTCGCCTCGCCATCTGTGTGCTTAGTGCGAGTTTTTTAACGTTCTCGATAGCGTAAAAGTTAGTTCATATTTGTATGGAATGGGATCGTTTGTGTACGTTTGCCGCTAGGAGCGCTGTTCCAACTGCATACAAAATTGGGTTAACTTTTACGCTAACGATAACATTAAGAAACTCGCACTAAGCACAGTGCCTCCGCAATCTTATACGTTAAGTCTGTCATCTTTGCTGCGCACCACGATGCACTCGCCTATGTCGAGCATCGTTCGCCATGAGCTAGTAACCGCTATGGTCTGTAACACTCTTGATACGGAGACCTTATCACTCAGGTCTCAAGGTGCATTTCGGCATTTACGGCGTAGATGCTATGCCAGGGGCAAAGCCAAGCCGTTGCCTACCGTTTAATACTCTCCACAAGCCTCGTTTGAAGAAGGATATGTCATAGCGCTCGGGAAACACCGTAGAGGGGAGTTCAATCCAAAGCCGGATGGTACCTGGCAAAAAATATCTCTGGAAGCGCACTCTGGATGATCGTTGATGGTAAAATCATCTCAAACAATACCTCCGAGCACTTCATCTATTATCTACAAGACATATAATGTTTGTGCCCTTATCACTTACGAAACTACTCTTCCGATTCGTAGTTTAGTTGTAGTTCCATTATAGGTACTACTCCTTTGGTGTAGTAGGGGTGCGACACTGTTACATTGTATATAGATTGTAGTTAGCAGTAAGTTAGAGGAAAAAATAATTAAGAAAAAGACGACAGCACTACATCCGGAGGGGGCTGCCACCGAGCATCGCACCTCCATCCTCAAGTCAAGCCCCCGTATTATATGTAAGTCTATCAGATTTACTGTAGTCATGCACGTATGCGAACTTCTCACATCCCCCAAGTCCGCCCCCGCTTCAAATAGACCCTGCTTTTTTTAATTGCTTAGATGGGTGGACGAGCGCACAGCCTCCCTGTACATAAATACCGCCACCTACCTACCTGCTTCACGGCAAAAATAGGCGGGGTGATGGTACCTACCCGTGCGGACTCTCAAGACGTCCTACCACCAGGAATAAAGGGCCTGCTTTATAAAGCAGGGAGCTTATTCTCGAGGTTCGCCAGGAGGCCCATCCCGTACCCCCGTATGGGTGTACAACAATCCAGTAGATTAGATTAGATATGTTTCGTTAATCGTAGACGGTGTGACGTATTAGTAAAGATTACACTATAAAAAAGAATATAATGTTCAAAAATAAAAGTGGGTATTCAAATGACCATAATTTTTAAAATAGGAGATTTATTTTTCATATAATGTAAACACACATTCAATGATATTAAATCTAACGTTGATTTGCCCATCTTTACAAATATAATTAAGACGACATGAAAATTTCGAACATTATTAACTGATCTCTTCTGAGAAATAAACCACTAAAACATTTTAATTAATTTACCTTTGATTATTGAAACTGGATGAATAATTGATGAAAGTTTATTTAGTTTTAAAGAAATTCATTTGTTAATTTATNACACATTCAATGATATTAAATCTAACGTTGATTTGCCCATCTTTACAAATATAATTAAGACGACATGAAAATTTCGAACATTATTAACTGATCTCTTCTGAGAAATAAACCACTAAAACATTTTAATTAATTTACCTTTGATTATTGAAACTGGATGAATAATTGATGAAAGTTTATTTAGTTTTAAAGAAATTCATTTTTTAATTTATTGATCAATATTTTTTGGAGATGCTAATTAAGAAAACGACTATGATTTATTATTTACAAATGTAAACGTAATCTAATGACCACAGCCACAGTTGTCGAATTAAAAACTAAACAAACATTTAAAACTAATTTACATGTTTTCATTAATGCAAATAAAGTACAAAGGGCATTCGGAACAACAGATTCCATTTAAAAAATTAAAACATTAACAATATTTATAAACTAATTTCTATTTTATATAAGTAATTAGGTATCACTTCAAACATAAGGCACAACTGATTATAATTACAACGTGTTAAGCAAATTCGTATTACACGCGAGTACATTAGGTACTTGTAAGATAGCTTACTATTAAATTACAAAGAGCATTATGCCCTATTTTTAAGTATAAAATTAGGCACACACATTATATAATTTAATTAAAGTACATTTTGGCTTCAGATCATCTCGGGTCTTACCTTCGACAAAACCGCTAAACTAAACTCTACTACTCGATTCTTTGTACTTTTAAACTTCTAAATATATATTTAAATGCATAAAAATGACTTAACCGAATCATTGCTCGTTTTGTCGAAGTGTCCAGTCGGGAATGTATCTCATTATAAAATTTCAAATTAATCGAATAGTTTTGTAGATAAATTCGAAATCTTTTTTTTTTGTACTATTATTATATTGCAAGAGCAACTCATACGACTCATATTCATGAACGAACGCGTCGAAAACCACATCTAAAAATAGCCAATCCAAACGCTGCGAATGGTCATTCATGAATACAAGAGTAATCGGTACCTACCTACCTACCTAGGCATTCATACAGCGCCGTGGATCATTAACCATTCAACGCACGCGACGAATATACAAGCTCGCTTACACGACGGACCCATAAAACGTTCTAATTTGCGATCCACGTAACGTTATTCGCATTCTAAATCTGGGAAAAGTTTTAATTGCGGAGAAAACGAACCAACATGATTTTCATTATTATTACTCGCTTTCGTTGAACATTCTGGCTAAAAATTGAACGTATGTTAATTATTTTTGAATCTTGCATTAATGTTTTGGGTAGTTTACACGATTATTGCCATTCACGTTTTGGCACTAAAGTCTTTTTATAATGGAGTTCTTGCTTGAGGCTCAAGCTGTCGGTGAAGAGTTGTGTACTTTGCGAGACTTCTCCCATTTGCTGATCGCATCCACAGGATAACACATAACCGCAGACAACAACAGGAATGCACCGGACACGTAGAACGATTTATCGTAACTAAGGGTCAGGTCATAGAGCATGCCTGAAAAAAATAAACATACGTAAAATTAAACTTTGTTCTAAACAATATTCAAAATTTAAAACGGTTCGGCTAATAAGCCGATTTAAAGAATTTCAAATGTTGATCTGACCCTTCAATTATAATACATATCTAATTTATAGCAGAAGACAAAATAGCTAATAGCATTTCATCGTGTTTGTCAACTAATAATACTTTTGCTAGTTAGCTATTAGTCATTGATGAGTTGTAATTTTATTAAGAAAAAGCTTATTCTCCATTACTACATAAGAAAAAATGCCAAAAACAAAAAATAAAGTGTAATATTTAAAATTAATGAATGTTGAGATTTCAATTATTATGAACCACGATCATTGGGCGAACTTTAGTTACAATAAAAAGTAATTAAGAAGAAAAAACTTAGCATTGTTCTTTTAATAGGTATGTATGTAATAATTTTTTTCAATAAATATGCGGGCGTTTTTCAAGGTAGGAATTTGGCACTGTGCCTATTAAACTATTTCAACCGGGTCAATGCAACGCGGAGAGCGAAAGGATTAGGTAACGTTCCGTGAAAGTTACATCAGAATGTCGCCCACACAATAACGCATTTATATTTTTTTATTAAACTAAAACAACTCTCAGAAAAGATTCCTTATCAAAATAATCATAACGAACGTGAAATCGTAAAATAAAATTCACCTGCAATAGGCACTCCCAACACAGCACCAAACCCTTGGAACAGGAGGAATAGCCCGAAACAGTTGGTCAACTGTTCTAGTCCAATATACTCCACTACCAAAATCGAACGGAGAGAGGCGAAGCACGCTGAAAATTAGTCGCAATTTAATTATATTATAGGGATAGGCGAATGCTTATCACATCAAAATACATGATTGAATAACGTACCAGCAGCCAGTCCGAAGATGGCGCAATAGGCAAATTGGAAAACGCTGTCGTAGTACAGTCCGCTCATCATAGTTGCAATCCCACCGGCAGAGATGGCGATGTTGTTCAACCACAAAGGGGATATCTTCGGCATCGACGATAGAAATCCACACATCACACGACCAACTATGTTCGATATTCCTATGGCGGATATAAGCCAACCGGCGATTGCTTTATTCATACCGTTACTTTCACCTCGTCTCTGTATGTACATGTACGGAACGAAGAAGCCTAACATTGTGAAAAATCCACTTAGAGCAAGGATGACAAAGGTCGGTGATCGGAATAGACTGACGTCTAACATGGTAGCCAATGTCCTTTTCACGGCTTCAGGGCAGAAACGACATTTTCCCGAAGATTCCTCTTGAGCGTCTTCTTTTGTAGGAACGTGCGTTACTGCGAGATGGTATCCAAGCGAAGTTCTAGATGTATATTGAGGCAATCGCGTCAAACTGGCTCCAAAGAAAATATCGTCCCGGTACAAGGGTCTGGCCACTAAATCAGCATGAGAACGACGTTGATGGAAACGGTTCTGTGTGGGGACGACTTTCACAGCAGCTCCAATAAGGGGCTCAGTGTTGTCGATGTTACCGTTTGAATCCTCTTGTTCATCTTTCTCAGCGACTGGCATTTCGATGAACATAGGTTTGTTTCCAAGTGTATTCTTTATAGCTCCAGCATTCGCTGACGATCGTCTACCGGCGTGTGAATTGCTCAAATGCGAGTTACTGCCACGGAATACCTCTTCGGCAGTCGGGTAACGTGTGTTATTAGGCACGCCCATCCAAGTATGAGGGCTTACTTTGTTTGTAAACTTCATTTCTGGAGGCATGCAAATTCCAGAATCGAGTTTGCTGTGTAACTTGATCATGGAGTTAAGTTTTTCGACGGCCTCCTCGTGACGTCTTGCAGTATCTTCTTCATCTTGTTCGTCGGCTAATGTCACGCGGACTGGTTTGATCGGCCGGAATAGAGAACCAAAGAGGATGCATAGGAGTAACATGGCTAAAAAAAAGAAGATAATTGCTTAACTTTTCGAAATATGGAAGATGAAATGATATTTAATTTTTGTCACTATGAATTTCAAAAGTATAAATTTTAAATAATTTACCTGCATGTATGAGCACAATAAGTCTCCAATTTTGCAAGCTTTCATTTAGTTTATTAGTTAAGATGGCGATAACGAAAGTGCCTACTCCGGAACCACAAAGTGCTAAGCCAGTGGCTAGACCTCTCCACTTTTCAAAGTAGAAACCAACAGTCAGCACCGCAGGCATATATATCATACATAGTCCAATACCTGAAATTTAATTATGTAAAAGTTTATAAACAGCCATTTACTAATGCATTTTAACTTTTAATTAACGGAAAGCTTTTAATTTTCGAACACGAACCTCCCATTATACCGTAGATGATATAAAGATATTCTACGCTGGTTGCGTAGTAGGAGACAGCGAATGCAAAACTCGAAATCAAACTTCCGATGATTGTTACGACGCGAAATCCATACCTGAAATTACAATGTGATTGATTCATCCAAAGATTTAATTACGAACAGTAAACATAAATTGAATAGAGTAACTAAATGCGAGATTAAGAAAATTTGTTATTTTTCTTGATCTTGCCTTTCCAACAGAATAGCTACTATGATTCTTCATTGAGAAATACTGCGAAATGATTCACTTCATTTTCTCAATGGAATTTCTGAGAATAGTACATAAGCAATGCCATTCTTTAATAAATCTTACTTGTTAGCTAGTGCCGACACGAAAGGTCCAGCCAATAAGTAGAAGCCAGCCAGTAGAGAATTCACAGTAGCCACTTTTCCTTCACTAATCTGAAACAATGAATTAATTACATTTCATTATTACAAGAAAAATATAATTAATTCTTGGCAGATGGGAAGATTATATCATTTATAAATCGATTTTGTAGTGGAACCTATACGTGCGGACATATTATATAATGCGGTTTAACACCAGCAATTAATCAAATATCAAGAATTTATTCCTTCATTGTAGAAAAGTCGTGTTAGTTCTTTGGTTGAATGTTGAATATTTAATGAAGTGTTTACAATAATAATTGTTATAAAAAAGAGTACATGCACAAGAGAGTCAAGTTTTTGATGTAATAATTTGAAAATAATTTAATTATCATAATATATTATACATATCAAATATTTTTATCAAATGTTCGGAAGCAATTTATATCGACAACAGAAAAATAAAGATACAGAAAATATGAAAGACCTTGAACTCATTGGCTCTAATAAGTAGGTCCGAAAACTTGGCACAATTAGACAAGTGCAAAACTGAATGAAAGCATGCTTTTTTTTTAAATACATTGCTTAATTTCTTAAATAAACCGAGCTAACAGGAAGGGGAAGTAGGATGTGAAACAGACATAACAGACGCAATATATCTTTGCTAAAATATTTGCAACGAGGTCAGCCGGTTACACTACATATTTCTAATAGAATAGATACACTTTATGATGACCGATTTATTCATCGAGATTCAACATATTCAATAGAAATTGTGTAACAAGAAAAATAATTGTTCTTAGATAAACTCTTTAAAATTCACTTTCCAAGTATGAGTTCCTAAAATATAAATTTACATGTAAAACTTAGATATCAGATCTCAATGAAACTTTAGAACAATTTAAATATTATGTAATTCTTTTTTCTATGGTGATAAAGAAAAACTGATTTTCGTGTTAATTTTTTTTACTGTTTTCTAACGATTAACTGCTCTAAAACATAACAAGTCATCGTTACAAAAGACACACGTGGAATTAAATTTCCGCAACACGATTTTTGTTCTGATATGATTCACTGACCTCGAACATATCGGGTGTGGGACTATTTTATAAAGTTGTGTTCTTAATTAAGTATAATCAATGTTTTTCGATAAAACGTTAAAGGAAATAAATGTTCGTACGTAACACGTACATTTTATTTAAACAATAAATTTACGATCTAATTTTTATTGGACAAGTAATTATTATTCTAAAATATCGTGGACTTGGCATTTTAATTTATCACCGACTAAAATGTATTACGATACAAAAAATGCATTTACCAGACTGCCAAAAAGTTTTAATGTCTTCGACTTCGACGTGAGAACTTCAGATAGTGTTATTAATAGATAGAGAAATGCTTCACTAGTCCCCAGGTACAGTGAAAGAGATGTACCGTAACTCGCATTGGCTATACGGGTCCCATTACCGAACGCCTACATTGGTATTGGGAGGCATTGAAAGATTTTCAGGGGCACCCATTGGGGGGTCGTTAAATAATTGAATTTAAATCGAAATACTGTATATCGGTGATTATCTATTACGAATATAAAAATATTGATATGAGTTGATTAGAATCAACTAAAATAAATTTCAAAGAATAACGTCTGGACATATTTATTCGAAATTGAACAACAACATTCGGACTATGAGAATGCCGAGCAATATAACTCTTTGGTGGGTGATGTACCTATGTACTTCAATGAAACGAGATTCAGTTTTGGTTCATTGAAAATTTCTTCATTTCTGATTCGCTAGAGGGCCTCATAAAAGACGTGAATTCATCTATAGGATAACACGAGACACGGTTGGAATTTCCGTGGACAATTGCTCTCGTGTATTGTATAGCGGGAAAACAGCTATTTATGAATATGATATGATCTTGGTGAAATTACAGCTAGGGAACAGGTTTTTTTTGCTTATTTTAGAAGAAAACTAAAACAATGGAAAGTGAAAAAAATGTCCAGTGCATTAAAGCCATTATCATCATAGCCAATTTACGGGGCTAATAATGATGCTTCAGTGCCAATGATTGTACCGGAACGTTGGCGTGCCAATCATTGTACAATTTACCCTGTTAAGGTTTGTGCTCATGACCGTGACTTCCAATAACACTCGAATGTAAACTTAGTTACAAAGTGTTAATTGTGGTGATCTAGAGATAAGGCATTTACAGTAATGCGTTTCTGTTTAAACGGAAGTCAATTTGGATACTAATGACATGGAGATGTAAACGATTTACTATAGTTTTACTAACCACTGAACTTTAGCTAGATCCTGGCCGAGAACTCGTTTGTCGAACACAAGAGAAAAAACCTGACCATTATAGTATTTTATACACATCGTGTAGGTAGAGATTCAAGAAAAATATACTTGTGTTATTTACGAATAAAGTGCGTTGTAATTTCATGTTGTTGAATTCGTTTGATGCGTTTTGACATTAAATTTACCTAAGATGTTATGATGACAAAAAAAAATTATTGCTTGGATGGGTGGATGAGCTCACAGCCCACCTAGTATTAAGTGGCTACCGGAGCCCATGGACATCTACAACGTAAATGCGCCACCCACCCTGAGATATAAATTCCAATGCCTCAAGTATAGTTACAATGGCTGCCCCATCCTTCAAACCGAAACCCATTATAAGTTATTTTGAATTTGATAACAAATATTTTGACCCCCGTCCAGATCGGCGATTTCGCATCTGCGGCGCTGCATTTAATGGTGATGTGTGGGTCCTATTTACTTAACCGCGAATGCATTGACGGTGCCGCGCTTCGATCGATGTGTTTGAATAACGGAATCATTTATTGCCTTTGATTTCCAATGTGGGATTTTGAAAGGGATTAATTTTAAAATATTAATAGCCACGGTATAATGGTGAAACTTTTCGTGGGAACTGAGAGACGCTGAGAGAAATCTGTAGTCGAGTTCAGTAGGTATGGAACTTAATTCAGACTTAATGAATAGAAACTTTACTTAAAGATTATTTACATAAATTCAACGTCATTGAATTAATAAATAAGCGCATATGTTAGATACGTTTTATATAGGTATACGAAGCAGATTATTATAGATAATTTCGTACTTCGAATAGTTTACTGTAAATTTCACAAACTACAATATTATGTTCGTACATCGCTAACATCCATTACTTTGTAATATAATACAACCAAAATAAACAATGGATAAAAAACGTGAAAAATAATTTATCAAGGACACACAGTTTTATACGAGCTATGTACCGTAACGATTGCATCCGTCGCGATAAGACAAAGATAGCTTTTTTGTATAGTTCCAAAAAATATTTTTACTAAATAAATACGTACCTACGTTTAAATTACTTCGACTTGAGTTCTACGTTAAATTTTCAAACCGTAAAACTGTAGATTTTCATAAAAACTGACGGCAGAATAGAGTAGTGGGTTTTTTTTATGATTGAATCATTACTGCTAGCCCTGAGGCCTTTCCAGTTTCAGGACAGGTGGCGAGCAAAGGCTCAGCCAGGAGGGGTGAGATTTGCTAACGTAACAATTCAAGAGCAGCTGCTTCGCGAATGAATCTACTATCGGATCAGAATCGCGACCCGCTGAGAAGATCCGGCGAGAAACTCAGCGAGCTAATGCATGGGTTGGAGTAGTGAAGTAGTATCACCATCTTATGTATATCTGCCGCGAAGCAGTCTTGCATTCCGGTTAAGCATATATAATAAAGTTACTACTTCGACCTGATGTCTCAAGGATGCGGGCGGTATTCATGCTGTGATGTCTATATGCTTCTTGGAACTCATCTCAAGCAGTTGAAAAAAGAAGATGTTTATTAATAGACACATATAACCTAAAGAACGCTGTCTGGTAAAGGTGACAGCAATGTGAAACTCATTCAGTTTTATAAAATTTAATTCGCGGACAATTATAATAATATTAATGCATTGTAATAAAAATCTATCTAGAATATTTTATTGTTTTTGTCGCGTATTTAATCATTCTTTAAGGTCAAGAAACAATCTTTTGACCCTCGCACGACGATATTTTTACGATAAATTAAACACAGATAGAAATTGAACGTAACATTTTTAGAAAACAGGGAAAACGATCGAGTTTTTTCTTCTTATTTTGTACGAAGTTTCTGGACGATTTAAATGAAGGTCCAAAATCAAATAAGAGTGTTAAAATCAATTTTAGGTAAACAAGCACAATAAACTTTTCGATTTAATTTTTATATTATCATCTTTTACATGGAAATCGCTGATAAATTAATGATTTAAATTTTTGTTAGTGATCTTATTTAAAAATGCAATCGCATCAGTGGAACGTGTAAGCGTTCGTTGCCCTCATACGGTCGCTACTCGTCGGTACATTGAAATAATGAGAGCTACTGCACCCAACTGCCGTGGAAAACTTCCAAACTCAACAAGGCTTTATATATGATAGACAAAAGTTACCGTATTAATATCTATTTTACTTTAAACCTACAAAAATTGAATGAAAAAATATTTCTAATTTTTTTTAGTAGAAAGTTAAAATTGTATCTCAATGTTTACAAATAGGTACGTGGTAGAATATGTTACAAGTACTTTGTTGTAAACGCAAAAAAAGTCGATACAGATAAACCTGCATAACTGACAACAACAAAACAATGTCAATCGTGATAACCTTTTTCAAGGCACGCTAACTAAGGGAATATTTGCATTCACTGTTTTGTCGTTTTTTGGAAATGTGAAACAGCTATACAAATGCAATTTATTCACGGCCGCATATAAAACAAGACTTGGGCAAATTTATTTTAAAGATAATGTAAAAGGAATAAAGTCTATACTAGTGCTATTTAAACCCGGACCACCAACACCAAGTATCTTAAGCCTGAAACAAAACAGGATCTGCATGGTACAATAATACTGTCGACTAACGGACTGTCCAGCCAATAAAATCATATAGAAATTCCGGACTTATCTATATATTAATACGTGAAGCAAAAACTTTGTACCCCTTTTTACGAAAATTGCGCAGACGGAGGAGTATGAAATTTCCCACAATT